GATTCAGTGTAAAAAAGCAGTAAAAGGGGGAGAAACATGTGAAACAGCGTAATCTGAGCGCATCCGACTAAACCTGAGCTATAACATCTTTAACCAGTTGACAACAGAGCTACAAAAGCCACTCGGCCGTAGTAATAATCCAATCAGCTGTTTCCGCTGAAAACAAGTGCAGAGATGCAGGAAGTGCAGTGAGAACATACAGGAGGCGATCACGCGTGTCCTCTGTCAGATGTGAGATTGGATTTTTTTACCCCATCCAGAAGGTCAAGTTCTTCATTGTTCCTCAGGCTCATTAAAAACGCTGCGGTGAGGCAGAAAGAAAATCTATTTGGCTGCCGTCACTGCAAATGTCAGAGCTGTTGGAAGAAATTTAGCAGCAATCTGTCATGAAGATCTGCTGCTGCTGACGAGGTCAAAGACATCCGGGTGGAGGGTTCAGTGTCCAGGTGGAAGAATCACCTTCAAACTGCTGAAACATCAACTGTACCTGCAGACACGACGAATGAATGTTTGAGATCACAGACTGAACATTGATAAGAAAACCCAACATCTGTTGGATTCAATGTGTAAAGATGAAAATCTAACATCTATACATTAATTTTTTATGTTGGTTCCTTATTTTTGAATCTACTTCCACCTGAAAGACGCACTTAAATTATTAAATATAAAGGCATAAATGCTTTTCTATCTGTGTGAAAATACACACTTTAACGTTTCCAATTGTCATTTATTGAAGAATTTGCTGCAGTCTTACAGAGTTTTCCTGCTTTGTTCAATTACAACTTGTAAAATCACCACAAACAAGGCATTAATTTACACGGTGACTGTATAAATAACAACAACAACAACGAAAACCAGGTTAAAACTATAAATAAAGTCATCATCACCAAAATCTGCAGCTTTACAAAGAATAATTTGTTGTTCTACAGCGTTTGTCTGTGAAATTACACTTTTTACTGACTTTAAATCAACAAAAAACAATATTTTACTGAAAAAATAAAAACAATGGTAAAGCATTATTTAACAGTTAGTCTTAAAAATGTTCCCACTTTGTAAAATTACAGATAATATTACATCAAAAATCTGTAGCTTCCCAAATAGTCATTTACTTTTTTTTTCAAGTGTAAAAAAACTACATTCACGCCATTTTACTGGAATCAGATTCCCCAGAAGTTCACACACACTGTATAAAAGGACATCAAATCTTTTTTTTTTTCTCACTGTCTGACAAACATGTCGATCAAAGTGGTTTTGATGAAGAATCTAAGCTCAGGTTTGTCAGATGGAACCACACACGACTGCTGGAAAGTTGAAAACTGGACATTTCTGTTGACAGTTTCTGGCTGCGGTCATTTTGGAGATTTGATTTAAAATAATAATTAAAGAACCTGTGAGTGGGTTTTTGGGCTTCAGAGGGTTAAAGTGAGTCACCGATGAATCACCTCATGCATGAATCATAAATCAGCCCAATTTCATCCATTTTGATGAAGAAAATGCAAAAGCAAACTGAGACTCCTTCACAACATCCCACATTAGTTTTTAAGGGAGCTCGTGTTTTATGAAAGGTTCAGGGACCATCAGAAAATTGGAAATTTGATGATTCTTCACATTTTTAGACTTTCTGACTGAAAAAAACAAAACAGTAAAAAGTAACTCATCTGCTGGTTATTTGTGCAACAAACGTTGTTTTATTGGACCGACTGTTTAAAACGTGGAGATAATCAGTTTTAATGTGACAAAGAAAAGCTGAAAATATTCACAGGTTGCTCAGTATCACTGCCTTTAGAGTACATCTTTGACTAATTTGGTAAAAAGTGAAAATATAAAGATGTGTTTTCTGGGATCGGCAGTAAAATATCATCACCTGGTTTCTGATGTTTGTTTTGTTTGTTTTTTGTCTTCAGGGTCTGAAGCCGATGGACTTCAACGGTCTGGCCGACCCGTACGTCAAACTGCACCTGCTGCCTGGAGCCTGCAAGGTAAGACTCACCTGGAAATAAGTAATAACCCAAACAGATTCTGAAATGTGGCTCCAGTTTCCACACAGCAGTGTAAAAATAAAATAAAAATAATGTTTAAATTAAAGCCATAAGCGGCGATGGACGGGTCCTCGCCGTACGATTGTTGGCCTTCATGCACGTCGGGGTTTGGCAGAAACGTGCTCTGGGTGGGACTCTGATCTGGCGTGTCGAGTTTTCGGCCAGATCGGAGCATGTGCGGCCTAGTTATACGCCACTTCCTGTTTAATGGTGAGCCGAGGCGGCGTGGTGTGGTGTGGCAACGCGCTGTGGTTTGGACTCAGAGCACGCTTGTAAAGTTTCAGGCAGAACGGAGCACGTACAGGCCAGTTACACAGCACGTCCTGTTTGATGACGTTTGATGGCACCATGTTTTTTCAAAATGGTGGACTTAAATATATTGATAATTTTGAAAAATCACTGTTTGTAAAGGAGACTGATTCTGGTATTATTTACATTTCAACATCCATCCATTTTCTGTACACCACTTAATCCTCACTAGGGTCATGGGGGGCTGGAGTCTATCCCAGCTGACTCAGGGTGAAGGCAGGGGACACCCTGACAGGTCACCAGTCTATCACAGAGCTACACTTAGAGACAGACAACCAAGCACACTCACATTCACACCTACGGACAATTTACAATCACCAATTAACCTCAACATGTTTTTGGACTGTGTGGGAGGAAGCTGGAGAACCCGGAGAGAACCCACGTTGCACGGGGAGAACATGCAAACTCTACGCAGAAAGATCCCGGGTGTCCTCACCGGGACGCGAACCGGTGACCTTCTAGCTGTGAGGCAACAGTGCTACCCACCTGCACCCCTTTAAGTCAACATGTAAACTAAAACTTATTTCTGTGATTTTATGGGATGTTATTGGTAAGAAATCAGGGAAGTTCTATAAAACTGAAGTAAATTGTTCACATGTGAAACTTAAAACGTATATTTTGTTTGATGTTGGTGAGAATTGAGGCGACTGAAGCTGCAGGTGTTTCTCTGTGACTGAAACTGACGTCGAGCTTCGTTTCTGCTGCAGCTCAGACTTCGTCCATCAAGTTCAGCAACTTGATCAGAGTCCTGCTTCATCTAAGTCCAGACTTTTCACTCAAAGCTGTCAGTCGTTGCTGCAGTTTATCAGTTTGTCAGAGACTTTAAGCTGAAGTTCACTTCGTGTTTGCAGCTTTTATTGACTGAATTCATGGAGGTTTATTCAGACGTAAAAACAGCTCAGACAGCCGAGATGAACGACTTCCTTTGTTTACCGCTGTAGAGAGTCAGTGAACACACATGTTGGGTTTACACTGACGGTTTGAAATGCTCCTACTGAGGTTATTTTATGGCTTCTCTGTTTGAGAAACGGTGACGTTCAGGTTTCTGCAGCTGGTTTCAGGAGCTTCAGAAGCTGCTTGAAAACCATGAAATGAATAAATAAACTCTGAACGGATCGATTGTTGTTCTGAAGGACGCTGAATGCAAACTTCTGACAAGTGTAAACTTCTGCACAAAGAAGGTTCCTTCAAGGTTTCTCTACAGAAATAGCTTCAACGTTTCTATATTTCGACATGATCACTGACATGTTGAGTCTGAACAGAGCTGCATGGAGATTAGATGTTGGTTTCTTTTGCCAGCGCAGCAGGAAGGTTGGCTTTCTGGAATAAGTACAAAAATATTGTGCGAATATTGGAGAATATTTTTTATCTTATATCACGGAAACATCCTTCAAGTCTTTCACCCGAGGATCTCATTCTGTTGGTTCAGAACAAAGCTGCTCTGAGCTTCACGGCAGAAACAAAGACCAGAAGAGTGAGAAGAGAGGGAAGAAGAAGCTACTAAACTGAGGAATATTTCGAGCAGAGTTCAGAGGACGCGGCAGCATCAGGCCCATCAGGGACCAAAGTCGGGCCCCTGTGAGGTCAAACGTCCAGAACTGGAGCAGGATTTAAAAAAACAAGCTGCTGTGGAGCTCAGCCAGCGATGTGTTCACTGCCCCGGTGTTAAAACCCTGCAGCAGGTTTACAGGAGCAGAATAAAAAGCGCTGCAGAGAGAAAAACCATGAAGAAGCTTCTCCAAACCTCATACAGAAGTAAAGAGGAACACCGAAGAGAAGCTTCAGAGCTGTTAAAGTCACCAGACGACGTCTGTCAGTGAAGCAGCGTTTACATGACGACTCTCTCTATTGGTATACTTTCTGGCTGGCAATTGTGTTATTTTGGAGATTTTCTTTTTAAAATAACATGTTTTCAAACCCATTGGTGGGTTTTGGAGTTTACATGTGTTGTAAAGACGATAAAGAAGGTTTGTTGTGATTTTCAAAGTCCTGGCATGAAGAATTTTTGAGTTATTTTTATTTAAATATGACTAATTTTTCAGATGGACCCACATCACATGCATGATGTGTTCAAGGGCGGTCGGAAAGTTGAAAATCCAATAATTCTTTTGGTTTTTACACTTTGTGGCTGATGAATGGTTTCATTTTGGAGATTTCTTTTAAAGATAACATGATTGTCAAAGCTGCTGGTGAATCTAGAAGCTCAGTGAGTTAAACTACTGCTTATCGTGGGTGCGTAATTAAATCTTTCCGTCTGTGGCTCCCCTAATGTTCGACCTAGAAGTCTAGAACGTGACACAGGTCTTGTAGAGAAGGTGAAGAAAGTTTGTTGTGATTTTCAAAGTTCTGGCACAAAGCATTTTTGAGTTATTGTTATTTAAACATGACTAATTTTTCCGGAACCACACATGATACGTTCAAGGGCGGTCGGAAAGTTGAAAATCCGATGATTCTTTTTGTTTTTACACTTTGTGGCTGATAAATGGTGTCATTTATTTTAAAGACAACATGTTTTTCAAACCTGCTGGTGAATCTAGAAGCTCGGTGAGTTAAACTACTGCTTAACGTGGGTGCGTAATTAAATCTTTCCGTCTGTTGCTCCCCTCATGTTCCACCTACAAGTCTGGAACTTGACACAGGTCTTGTAGAGAAGGTTTGTTGTGATTTTAAGAATTCTGGCACAAAGCATTTCAGAGTTATTGTCATTCAGATAAGACTCTTTCTGATTTCACAGTGTGTGGCTGATAAATGGTGTCGTTGTGCTTTAAAGATAACACCTCGTTCAAACCTGCAGACACATTTTTGGGTTCAAGGGGTTAAAGTTTCATGATTTTATTGAATTTCTCACGTCTTAAATGAACTATTTCTTGGTTATTTTGCTTGCTTTCTGGTTTGCGTTGGTGTCTGCACCTACGACTCTGAAGTGATGAAGCCATTATTGTGGAAAACTCAATAAAAAGCTCAAAATGATGACTAAGAGTCTGCAGGGAGGCTCCACATTAGCTGAATTATCAACCTGCACTCCATTAAATTCCACTATAAATTCAGTTTGGCTCAGATTTAAAGTATTAAGACACGTTTGCTGCATTTTTCTGAGCTGCTGTGTGGAGCTGCAGAGGCTGAAATGCCAAATTGAAATCGCTCATTATCAACGCGTGTGTGCATCTCTGTGTGTTTTTCAGGCCAATAAGCTGAAAACGAAGACGATCCGTAACTCCCTGAACCCGGTGTGGAACGAAACGCTCACCTACGTGGGCATCACGGAGGAGGACATGCACCGGAAGACGCTCAGGTGTGTGTGCGCTCACATCAACACACATGTGTGTGTGTGTGTGTGTGTGTGTGTGTGTCGGGTAATTTACACTTTCATCAGATCTCATTTCAGAGCGATTACTGCTACAGCCATTAATCAGGACGCCTTGACATTCACATGCAGAGCCCAGTTTGTCATCCCTCATTAATTAAAGTGTCGGAGCAGAATCCTGCGGAGCGTCCGAACGCATCGCCACGATTCATGAGGCCGAGTGATGCTTTTAGTGTTTTCCACAAACAGCCGTCAGCCGGCATCAAAGTGCAGCGTAATCAGAAGTGTCACGGGGAGAAATTCTATGTTTTTACAATGAAGTCTGGCCTGTGTTTCTACATAATGCAGCCAGAGAAGATTTATCAGCAGCAGAGAGATCAGATGATGAAGGAGGGAGTCGGAAAAATGTCCTCCATCTACAAAAATGTCCTGACGTTTTACAAATGTCCTACATTTCTAAAAGGAATAATTATAATAAAATCTTCACTTAATAAAAATGTCCTCCATCTACAAAAATGTCCTCACTATACAAAAATGTCCTGACTTTTTAAAATGTCCTACATTTCTAAAAGGAATAATAATAATAAAATCTTCACTTAATAAAAATGTCTTGCAAAAATGCTCTGAATCTATAAAAACTATTGTTTAAACAGTGGATAAAAACACTTTACAAAATGTCATGACTTTACAAAATGTCCTGTTTTGTAAAAAATGATGTCCCCACTTTACAAAAATAGCCTAAATTTAAAATTCACAAAAACTTTGCCAATTATTTTACAAAAATATTCCACTTTCTAGAAATGTCCTGTTATCTTTAAAAATGCCCCTACCTTTGAAAAATGTCCTCAATTAACAAAAATGGCCCTTACTTTACTTACTTTACAAAAATCTAAATTGTTCTGAAATACTAAAATAAAATAAAATAAAAATAAAATAAAATAAAATAAAATAAAATAAAAAATGTCCCCATTTACTTGACAAAAGAAGATTAAACAAAAGTTCCTACTTCACAAAATGCCGTGACTTTACAAAAAATGTCCTCACTTCCTGTACAAAAAATGTTCTGAAATTCCTAAAAAAAAAAGTCCACACTTTACTAAAATGTTTTAAGTTTACAAAAACTTTGCCCATTACTTTACAAAAATTTTCCACTTTCTAAAAATGTGCTGTCATCTTTAAATGTCCCTACCTTTGAAAAATGTTGTCAATATGAAAAAAATAAAAATAAAAAAAAGTCCCCAATTTTTAATCATGACCCCACTTTACAAAAACATCCTGATTTTCCTAAAGCGACATTCTTTTCTTAAAAATCTCCAGAACATCTAGAAATGTTTCTCCTCTTCCTAAAATGTCCTCACGTTATAAAACTGTCCCCTCATCAGTCACATTCTGAATTTGGTGAATAAGTTTAATGAATCGCAGCAGGACTCTACTGAATGTGTGGAGTCTGGTGTGCTTCTGTTCAGAGAGTTTCTATGAGCCTCCCGGTGGTAAATGATGGATGAGTGCTTCTGAAGGCGACTATAATCAAAAGAAGTGTGAAATAACAGAGCAGGAAGCCTTTAATTACCGAGCTCAGGAGCAAACCTTTAATCTGAGACGAACATGCAGCAAAGCCGGCGTGTAATTGTGATCGAGCCTCTCAGGAATCGAGTAAAAAAGACCGTGTTGCTCAACAAGCATCTGCAGAAACATGGCGGCGGGTTTGTCCTGAGGCCGAACGCTGCTGAACTCAGGATTATCAGAGACTCAGCAGCTGAGATCTGTTCAAACAACTTCTAGAGTTTCTGCACAAAGAGAAGCAGCAGAACTCTGTGGAGGTGTTGCTTCATTTCATTTGCTTTTTGTCCTCAGTTGGCCTGTTCCTCTGTTACATCTGTTCACGTCTCTGCTGTGCAACATCACGCATTCAAAATAAAAGTAAAATGTTGATTGTCAGGCAGCTGCTGAGCACTTTTCTGTCGTTTCTGAGGAACTTTGTTTTGGTGAAAATGCAAAAATTCAAAGTAAATTTATCTGAAAGTAAATCTGTCCTCACTTTTAAACAGTGTCTGTACTTTTAAAAAACATCATCATCACTAAAAAAAAAAAGTGCTCTTACTTTGAAAAACAAGTCTTTAAAATGTTCAGATTTTCAAAACATGTCCTCATTTTGGAAAATATGTCAAAATTTAACTACAATGTCTACACCGAGTTCTTAACAAGTTTTTACTCAATTTCTAAAAAATGTTCCTGGCTTTCAAGGAACTTCCTAGTGTTCTAAAAAAAAATGTCCAGAATGCCAAAAAGAAAAAGAAAAAATAAAAGAAAGAAAAAGAAAAAGAAAAAAGACTTTCCCCATGTTAAAAAAAACTTCTAGCTTTTCATATATCTTCAGAATCTCTCTTAAAAAATTTTTTAAAAGTACACACTTTAAAAAAAAATCCTTTACGTTCTAAAAATGTGTTTTGAAGAATATCTTGAATTTCTAAAAAAAAAAAAAAAGTCTGAAAAGCTTCTGAGTTCAAATAAAATGCCCCATTTTAAAAAAATAAAAAATGCTCATGTTGCTTAAATGTCAAAAAAAACAAAAAACCCACGCTTCATTAAAAAAGTCTCTTGCTTTTTAAAAAATTTCTAATAAAAAATAATGTCGCTACCTTTGAAAAATGTCTGCAATTTTTAAAAAAGCTCCTAATTTCTAATCATAATCCCACATTATAAAAGCATCCGGACTTTCCTAAAACATCCTTTTTCTAAAACTAAACAATGTCTTGAATTAAAAAAAAACAAAAAGTCTGAAAATGTTCTGAGTTTACAAAAATGTCCTTACTTTGGAAAAAAATGCTCCATTTGAGAAACAAAAAGTGCCAATGTCCTTTAAATGTCTGGAATTTTCAAAATAAGAAAAAAAAAATCCATGCTTCACTAAACCCCCGCCCAAAAAACGGTCTAATATTTTAAAATCTTTCCACTTTCCACAAATGTCCTGAATCCTAAATATGTTCTCACATCAACACATGTAGAAATAATATAAAATGTTCCACTTTCTAGAACCTTTGAGCTGTTTACGTCCCGTCGTCTTTCCTGGACTTTAACCGAAGCGTCTGAGCAGCTGAAGCCTGAAGTTTTCTTTCTAAACACGTGAAGTCTGTCCTCTGCTTCCTGAGTCCTGGAGCACATCGCTACACAACAAACATACATCCAGCTGTAAACATTCACCAGCAGCAGGATGTCAGCGGCTGTCGGCTGCAGAGAATCATTTGGACACGCTGAGAGACAAACTGACCTTCCTGTGATTCAGACCTTCGTGCCGACGACCTGCTTTCAGGCTCCGCTGGGATTTTACTCTTCGCTCCTCGTCAGCTCAGAAACACGAGCGAGAAAAGACATTTAGCGGTTTATCCTCAGAGGAAGAAGAACGTGAGCTGCTGCTGTGGTCTCTCTGTGAGGTTTAGACGGTCAGGAGGAGACACTTCTGGAAAGGGAAAGACTTCTTTATCACAAAACATCCACTGTCTAAAAAATATCCCACTTTCTTCCAACCCAGTTCCCCAAAAAGCTACAAAATGTAAATAAAAGCAGTAAGAATTAACCTAGAAAATAGTACAAAGAAGTGTTTTTAAAATATCAGCAAAGTGACGCCATTCCTAGGACTTTTTTTTCCCATTTTGGAGAGGTGTTGTTGCATCAGCTTTAAAACAAGCAGATATTTTGCATACAGTTCCTCAGTTTCTATATTTAATATGTAGGGGAAAAAGTAGAAAATCTGACGTATTTGTTTCTTTTTACAAGCAGAAAAAAATGGTCAGATTTTCAACTTTCCCACTGTCCTTGAACATATCACGTGTGCTGTGTGGCTTCATCTGGGGGAAAAAAAGCACAAAATGTTCTAACTAAATAACTAAAGAATTAATCTTCTCACAAATCTGCTACTTGTTGTTGATTTCTGAAAAACATTTCAAGCAACACATTTCAAAAAAGTTGTGGCACAGAAAAAGTGATTTGTAAATCCTTGACAGCCTAGAAAATAGGAAAAAGAATGATTCTACTTTTTTTAATTACCAAAATCTCACAATTTAGTAGCCAGAAACTGTAAAAACAGAAAGAAAAATTGCCAGATTTTCCGCTTTCCCACTGTCCTTGAACATATCATGTGTGCTGCGTGGGTCCATCTGGATAAAAACAAACAAAACAAAATGTTCCAACTAAATAACTAAAACGTGTTTTATGCCACAACTGAAAAACATTTCAAGCAATATATTTCAAAAAAGTTGTGGTTTGCAAATCATCGACAGCCGAGAAAATAGTTTTAAAAGAATTTTTAAAAAAAGATTTTATTTTTTTAAATTACCAAAATCTCACAGTTTAGCAGCCAGAAACTGTAAAAACAGACAAAAAAAGTCTGATTTTCAGCTTTGTGACCGTCCTATGTGCTGTGTGGGTCCATCTGGAGAAATGGTCTCATTTGGTATGAAGCTAAAACACAACCTGAACTATTCATCCATTATCTATACACCTCTTAATCCTCACTAGGGTCATGGGGGGCTGGAGTCTATCCCAGCTGACTCAGGGTGAAGGCAGGGGACACCCTGGACAGGTCACCAGTCTATCACAGGGCTACACTTAGAGACAGACAACCAAGCACACTCACATTCACACCTACAGACAATTTAGAATCACCAATTAACCTCAACATGGTGTTGGACTGTGTGGGAGGAAGCTGGAGAACCCGGAGAGAACCCACGCTGCACGGGGAGAACATTCAAACTCCACGCAGAAAGGTGTCCTCACCGGGATGCAAACCGGCGACCTTCTAGCTGTGAGGCAACGGTGCTAACCACTGAACCACCTTGCAGCCCAAACCTGAACTACACTGATTCAAAAACATTAATTTTTATGACTTATAAGACATTTATAATAAATCATATTTCAATAAGTAAAACCTGCTTTTCTCACAGTGACTGAATGTGATCAGAGGGTTCAATAAAGAGGCTCAGCGCTGGACCAGTCTTCATCACAACAAAGTGGTTTTCACATCAGAACCTGGTTCCAGTCTAAATCAGGCTCGTGGTTCCAGGGTTCAGAGTAACATTTGGTTCAGGTAGAAATGTAAAGATTCCATCTGTGCGGGCGGCCGACCTTTAACAGCTTCATCTCCAAAGGCTGCAGATCTCATTCTGCCTCGCTTCATAAATAATAGAAAATCACTCAGAGAGGTCAGCGCCGCCACACGTCGGCCGCTCCTCTTTATGAATACATTTTCTGTGATTGTGTTTGTCATGAAAACACAGTTTGGTGTCGCTTCGCCTCACGTTCTGTTTACCGGCACATTTAAAATGCTCTTTGTGTGGCTTTAATCCTGCCGCTGTAATTCTCCCGTCGCCGAGCTGCTGCACTCTGATCTGATGAGCTTTATTGAAAAGCACAAAAGGCTGCGCTGCCAGCAGTGTATCTGAAAGAGGCTGCGCTGTTTGCTGATGATGAAGCTGCAGTTTTCAGGAGGAAAAGAAACTCTGAAGGAAACATGAAAATGCTGCGAATCTCTTGTGGTGACAAGATGAAGGAGCTGCTTTCATTCATTGCCTCCTTTCTTGTCTCTGCTGTGGTGAAGCTGTGGATAGATCTCTGAACATCTGGATGCTGAAGTGTTCCCTCGTTCTTCTTTGTAAAACTGTTCAAACTCTGTCAGGTTACACAGAGATCATTAGTGAACAGACCTTTTCAAGTCCAGACACAAATTCCCAGTTGGTCTGAGCTCTGACTCGGCCTCCAGAACCTTGTTGTCTTTAAACTTTTTGGCTGTTTGCTTCGGCTCATTGTCTTGATGGAAAAACACATTTTCTCTTGAGTCACAGTCCTCTTCCAGACTGCATCAGGTTGTCCTCCAGGAGTTCTCTATACTTTGCTGCATTCATTTTACCCTCTACCTCTACACCCCTTCCAGGACCTGCTGCTGAGAAGCATCCCCACATCATGATGCTGCCACCTCCATGCTTCACATCATGATGCTGCCACCTCCATGCTTCACAGTGGGGGATGGTGTCAGTCAAAAAGCTCCATTTTGGTCTCATCAGACCAAAGAACCTTCTTCCAGTTGACTTCAGAGTCTCCCACATGTCTTCTGATGAACTCTAGTCCAGATTTAATATGAGCTTTTTTCTCTTTGTCACTCTCCCATAAAGCTTTGACAGGTGTTGTATGAACACTCTCTCCCGTCTCAGCTGCTGAAGCTTGTAACTCCTTCAGAGGACTCATAGGGGTCTTGGTGGCCTCCATCACTCGTCCCCTTCTTGCTCAGTCACTCAGTCGTTGAGGACTGATTTACACATGCGCCATGTTCCTTCCATGTCCTAATGATGGACTTAACTGAACTCTATTCTCCGACTTGGAAACTTTCTTGTATCCATTTGCTGACTTGTTCTTTTCAAAAACCTTTTCACTGAAGTGTTCTTTTATCTTCATGTTGTAGTTTTATCCAGGGGTACTGCTTCCTTCCCGACACAGGAGTCTTTATTCTACAATCACTGAGACACATTCACTGATGATTCACTGTAACGGGGTGAACACTTTGGCCTCTGTCACATTTTATATTTTTAATTGAAGACATTCCTTTGTAGAAACCTCTTTTCACTTTGACATGACTTCTCTCTTGTCACAAAAGGCCAAATTATACTCAACACAATTCAATGTCAAACAAAATAATAAAAGGAGAAAACTTCAAAGAGGGGGAACACTGTTTATATTCAGCGCATACCGGGACAGTAGAAGATGAGTAAGTGTGTGGACTCGGCAGCTCTCTGTGATCAGCAGCATCATCCTGACATTTACTGTATAACTGCAGCTCCTCCACTTTGATCTCGATCACACGATGACCTTTTTCAAAGCTGCTGAGAGCCTCTTCTTCATCAGGAGGAGGTTCTCTCTGCGCCACCTGCTGCTTACGGAGGCGTTTTATCATCGAGGGTAGAAGGAGGATCTGAGTCACTGAAGGAAAATCCCACAGGAAGATGTGTCCTCATTATCTGCTGCTTCTTGATTCAGTTACAGTCAAACGTCCAGTCAGAGGAGGAGCTCAGCAGCAAAGGTCCTCGTCCACGGTGTGATCCACGGGTTTCCTGCTGAGAAACGCAGCCGCAGAGATGAAACGAACAGGAGACGCATGCAAATGATGATTCACATCCTCAGTTTAGTGCTGAAGATGAAGACAAAGAAGAAGTCACATTAGATCAGATTAGATTCATCTAAAAGTGAATTTATTAAACTGTGAATCTACTGGAAGCATTTTGCTTGTGAAGAAGAACTGATGTCCAGTTTATCAATGAACAAACAGAGAAAAAATCAAGTCAAGTTTATTCAGGTTCACCTCAGGAATTTCATCTGCCTTCCTCCCCTTGTCTCCTTGTCTCATCTCCTTGTCTCCTGTCTCCTTGTGTCCTCATCTCTTTGTTTCCTTGTCTCCTTGTCCCATTTTCTCATCTCCTTGTCTCCTTGCCTTGTCTCCTTGTCTCATCTCCTTGTCTCCTGTCTGTTTGTTTCCTTGTCTCTTTGTCTCCTTGTCTATTTGTCTCATTGTCCTGTCTTCTCATCTCCTTGTCTCCTCTCCTTGTCTCCTGTCTCCTTCTGTCCTTGTTTCTTTGTCTCTTTTTCCCGTGTCTTATCATCTCCTTGCCTCCTTATTGCTTTGTCTGCTGTGTCCTTATCTCTTTGTCTCCTTGCCTCCTGACTTCTTATCTCCTTGTCTCCCTGTATCTTTGTCTCCTGTCTCCTTGTCTCCTTGTCTCCTCGTCCAGGTTGACCGTTTGCGACGAGGACAAACTGACGCATAACGAGTTAATCGGAGAATCCAGAGTTCCTCTGAAACGAGTGAAACCTGATCAGACGAAGCATTTCCACACCTGCCTGGAGCATCCGCCTCCGGTAACACAGCAGACACACAACAGACACACAACAGACACGCGTAGCGTAATATATGTATAATAGAATTTAAATGTGAAAGAGCAGCTCCAGCTGTTCAGATGAGTCCTGGTATAAACACACAGGATGTATAATTTATGAGTGCATTTTGTTTTGTAATGTCAGGAGATTACGATACATACGTATTAATACTGGACAGATTTGTCTAAGCAGAAACGCTATATTACAGAGTTTTTAAATACACAAAATATTTACGATTCACTGCTACGAACTCTAAAGCTATAAACACATTGTTCTGTGTCCTGTCTGGTTCTACTCTCCTCAGCTTCCCTCTCCGACTGCGATGGGTGAAGCCCTTCGAGGAATCTCCTGCTACTTACGAGAGGCAAGTCTCCATCCATCACTATGACTTTTATATGTATGTATGTACTGTATCCTCACCTGCAGGCTTCTGCTGACAAACATCACATCTGCAGGTTTGTTGCTCATCAGAACGACGGATCAGAATCAAATTAACTGACTCTGATCTTATTTCTGGCTTAGAGGGAACGTTTCCTGGATGTTCTCTAAAGGTTCAGCACACAGCAATCTATAGGAACTATTTAGGAAAGGTTCATTTGAGCATTTGAGCTGTTTTAAAAGACAAAAAAATAAATGTTAACAATGACAAAAACAAACAAAAAAAAAGATATTAGAAAATGGAAAAAAAGTCAGAAATGACTCAAAATTGGTCCAAAATGACTGAGAACTGTTTCAAGATGCCAAGAATCTGATTCAAAGAGTCAAAAACATGCATAAAGGTGTTTAAACTGTGTCCAGAATGACTCAAAAGTGTCCAGCATGATTCTAAACTGCTGCAAAATGATGAAGAAAACATTTAAAATGACAGAATTTGTTCACAATGACTCAAATGTGATTCAAAATAACAGAACTAATTGTCCAAAATGACCTAATCTGTCTAAAACTGAACTGTTTGTGTCCAGAATGAATTACAATTTGTTGAGAGTGACTCCAAAATGACTAATTTTGTCCAAAACAAGCACACTGACAGAAACTAGAAGCTGTTATCGTTAAAACAAAGTCTCACGTGTTAATTTGAGCCTCGCTGTTCGCTGCTTTTCCATCTACTAAACAGGGATTTAACTAATTCTGCAACAAGAGGCTTGATTTGTGTAAATGATTCATTTCTGAAAGCTGCTGTGTGTTTCTACCGTTTGGTAGATTCACGTCAAATCTTTTGGTTTAAATCGTTGGCTTCCTAACGAGGACGGTTGTCATGACGAATAAATCCTGCTGCTCATGAATTAAGGAACAAAAAGGATCCCGAGTGACTCAGAGATGTTGGTGGAACTAATGGAACAATGAAGCCGAAGGTGTTGATTCAGTCACAGGACAGAAGGAGGAAACATGGAGCTGATGAAGGAACAGGCTGAGCTGATGTTTGATGACGTCGACTTTCACCTGCAGCCTGAACATCTGGATTCATTCACACAAACCTGGAGAAGAAACAGAAACACAGAGGACACAAATCTAATCGTCACAACAACAACTGATCACAGGTTGTCCATTTTATACTTCAAGCTAAAAAAAAAAAAATTTGTCCAAAATGTCAAAAAACTGGTCTAGAATGACTCAATCCTACCAAATACCAAATATATTGAAAAGGAGTTGAAAACAGAGTAACTCAAAATTAGTTTGTGACCAAAGAAAGTCCTGAATGGCTCAAAACTGATGTAGAAGGATGTATACTTGTCTACAATCACACAAAAATGGTTCAAAATTACTCTAAACATATTCATTATGACAAAAATATATATCGATAGTTACTTGAACTTTGTCCAAAATGACTCCAACCTGATTCAAAATGACAGAAAATTGTCCAAAATGACTCAATGACTGAACACAGTGATCAAAACTAATGGTCCAAGAGTTTCATAATGAAAAAAAAAAAAGTCCAAAATGAGTCCATATGACTTGAAATTACCCAAAATGACAAAGAAATGTGCAACTCGACAAAAAAATGCTGAAAGTTACTCCAAAATTTTCAAGAATGACTCCAAATTTGTATAAAATGAGTCAAAAAACTGTAAAGACGACTCCAAGCTGATTCAGAATGACAAAGAAAACTTCAAAACGGACTAGAAAACTGGTACGAAATGACCAAAAAAGTCCAAAATGTCTCAAAATGTATTTCAAATACAGAAAGGTTTTCTGAAATAACTCCAAAATAGTCCAAAATAGGGGCTGCAAGGTGGCTCGGTGTTTAGCATCGTTGCCTCGCAGCTAGAAGGTCGCCTGTTTGTGTCCCGGTGAGGACACCCGGGATCTTTCTGTGTGGAGTTTGCATGTTCTCCTCGTGCAGTGTGGGTTCTCTCCGGGTTCTCCGGCTTCCTCCCACACAGTCCAAAAACATGTTGAGGTTAATTGGTGATTCTAAATTGTCTGTTGGTGTGAATGTGAGTGTGCTTGGTTGTCTGTCTCTAAGTGTAGCCCTGTGATAGACTGGTGACCTGTCCAGGGTGTCCCCTGCCTTCACCCTGAGTCAGCTGGGATAGACTCCAGCCCCCCACGACCCTAGTGAGGATTAAGGTGTATAGATGATGGATGGATGGTCCAAAATAAGTCTAAACTTATTCAAAATGATTTTAAAAATGTATCCAAAATGACCTGAACATTGTCCAGAATGAATTCAATTTTTTTCCCAAAATGAGCCAAAAGCTGTAAAGAATGACATCAAGTTAATTCAAAATAACGAGAAAATGTCAAAAATGACAAAGAAACTGAGACAAAATGACAAGAAAAGAATTCAAAATGAAGCCCTGAAGCTGTTCATACAAATTTATGTGTGAAATAACTTCACCAGCAGCTCTGAGGACAAACTCTGAGGATCAGAGACACTGTGGAGGATTCAGAAACACCAGAGTCTCCAGCAGCAAAACCATTAAAACTCTAAACGAGACAATCGATGAGCGTCGGTGACTCAGTGATGAATCTGCTCCAAATGAAGCTGCTTCCATTTAATTCACAGCAGAACCGCTTTCACTGAATGAATCTGCAGCCTCCTAAAGAAAAAAAAAAGTCTGTTCAAGAGTCCAGGTTCTGCACATTAAAGGTTTTGTGGTTTTATTAGAACCAGTTCTCTTGGTTTTACTTGACTGCAGCTCTTCTCCTGGCAGCGAAGAAAAAGACGTGAAGTTCGAAGCTTCACGTCGTGTCTTTGAATTCTCAGCCGGAGCTGAAAGCAGCAGGACAGAAAAACTCTGATTCTTTCTCATCTCGACGCATCGAGGACGCAACAAAGAGTCCCGTCGGCTTCCTGCGGTCCGACTTCCACTCCTTTGTGGGAGTGAACTCGTCGTCTTTTCCTCCGTCGGATGAGTTTGTCTCTCATTTATGTGGAGGCTTCTCTGGTCCAGATGCTGCTCTCTGACCTCAAACAGCTCCTTTATTTCTTCAAAACAGGAAGAAAGTTCAGCGTCTTCTCTCAACTAAACATTCTGTCCATCAGTCTGATCGTCTCTCGTTAATTCACCCCAAAAATATGTGAATTATTTTAGGAATCTTTGCATCGTAACAAGTGTTCACGTCACCGGGTTCAGTGATAGAAACTGTAAAAACAGGAACGAGTGACAAGTGTTGCCATCAGGAAGAAATAACCCAAAGACAGGTTCAAATCATTTCATCAGAATGACTTTATGCTTCATCTTATTTAAGAATAAATGATAAATTCTGCAAACAACAACAAAAACCTGAAGAAAAACAAAACACAAAACATCAGAGGATACAAAACTGTTCCAAAAAGACATGAAATGGCCTGAATAAGACGTAAAACGACCAAATCAAGAAAAAAATAGACACAAAACGAGAGAAGTGAGACGCAAAATGAGAAAGACGACAAAAATCTGACACAAAATTTGAAGAGAATGTAAGTAAAATGAGAAAAAAAAGAGAAATAACAGACAAAGTGAGAAGCAAAATAAGAAAAACTAGAGATGAGAAATGAGAAAAAAGAAAAATGAGATGCAACATGAGAAAAACAAAACAGACACTGAACATTAAAACTGAAAATCCAGAGTGTCTGATCTTGTTGTCAGCAGAGTAAAGCTCTCATCACAATTATCCTCGTTATAAACTCTAACTGCGACCATTTCCAGAAAATCCAACCGTCATGACGTGTCTCAGTTTTCTGTTGGACTCTTCCAGACCTGAGAACCTCCCAAAGACTTCATCTGTGATCTGCTGATATCAGTCCGTCAGTCACAACCTGCAGCCGATCTGAAGGTTTATTACAGCAGCAGGATGATGTGCGGCTGATTAAAGCGTCGTGTTCACAATCACCTCAGACGGAAATAAATCACTGTGATCATAAAACCTGACGTTCAGTTCACTGTCATCTGCTGTCAGAGTGTCACAATCAAAGCACGCTCTGGAAAACATGGCCGCCGTGTTGTTCTCACACACTTCAAACAAAATAACTAAAACATCTGTCAGTTTACACAATATGTCCTGTTTATGCTACAGATTTTTTTCTATGTTTAAAAAAAAAACACACACAAATGTGTCACATTATAAAAATAGACTAAATTCATGTTAAAAAAGTTTTTAATTAATTTTTGAACAATTTCCTGTTATTTTAAAGACTGTACCTCTTTTATTAAATTGGAAATAAAAATTAGTAAATTATCAGAAAAAAAAAATTTGACTTACATGTTAATTGTACAAAAATGGACCCAAACTGTAAATAAAAAAATATTTTTGCCAAAAAGTTTTTATTATCTATGCAATTACACTTTTTTAAAGCTATTTAAATTAGGAAAATATATCATTACTTTACAGATATTTGCTGTTATTTTCACAGTTTTAACAGTTTGTAAAAGTAATTTGTAATATCTGTAATTTTACAAAAATATTTCCTGTTTATTCCACAGATTTTTTTCCTTTTTTTTTTTTTTTTAAATACACACAAATACATCAATCAAGATACAAAAATAAATTAAATTTACATGTCTACACTGTCTCAAAATCTACTTTTTCAACAGCATTTCACTATTTTTTTTACAGAAATTACTGTTATTTTAACTTAAAATTTTCTATAATGGAATCATTAAACCACGTATCTGTCACTCACACAAAAAACTATTTTGATTTTTTAGCTTTCTCTTAGATTTATTAAAGTTCCTCTGCAAAAATAAACACACAGGAACTTGATTTATCAGTTCTGATGATGTAGAAAGTTGTGTGAATTAATTTTTTTTTTTTTAAGATTCATGGCCTTTACAGTTAACATTTAAATTCTATTGTCTGTAATTAACAAAACTTTTTTTAAAAATTCCAAAAAACTCTGTGTAACACCACTATATTTTTTTTTTTTAAAAATGACAGTAAAAAATATTTAAAACATGAGCTGAACTCTGATTTTGTGAATTTGTCCATCAGACAGGTTTCAATAGACATGATCAAATATTCTGAGCAGATTTCAAACCTCATTTAGCTTCCAAATGGGAAACCTGTGAATGCAGATTCTGACAAGTGAAGAAAACGTTTCTGAGCAGAGTTTCATCAGCCTTTCTCTCCACTCTTCACCTGCTTGATCAGATCAGACTTCAGGCTCCAGTAGAACATTTTAGTTCAGATTCCTGCAGCGTTCAGGTGAAGCCTCAGCAGTGTTCACGTGTTCTAACAAACACAGACGCAGGTTTTCATTCGTCCTGTTTGCAGCCAATTGACCTGGACTCAGCGACAAACAGCAGCTTTACTTCATGAAAAACAACAGCAGAGCTTCTCGGTGGATTCCGGGAGTCTGTCTCTGGTCCGTCTCACTCTTCCCCTGCAGAAATAAAGCAGTTCGAATAATTGGAAATGTAATGAAATGAAAAGCTCTTGTGGAAGCTTTTCAACCTTGACGAGAAAGTCGAATTAAACTAATTGGTAGCATCGCAAAATGTGTCTAATTAGGAGGTTCAGCTCCAAAACATCAGAATTTATTACACAGTAAACTGAATTCCACTTAATTCATATTTTTTTCTGCTGTTGATAATCATTATTTATCCTGTAAACTGCTGGTGGAGTGAAAGCACAGCTGCTGTCAATCAGAATGACAAGGACACACCTCTTTAACTGCTGTCAATCAAATAGGGACACGCCCCTCCAGCTGCTCTCAGCCAAATAAGGACACGCCCCTCTAGCAGCTGTCAATCAAATAAGGACACGCCCCTCCAGCTGCTCTCAGCCAAATAAGGACACGCCCCTCTAGCAGCTGTCAATCAAATAAGGACACGCCC